GATGTAGGTAAAATGTTTATTTATATATTTAAAAAGTTTATATTAAAATATTTCATTGATGTCAATTTACATGGTTTCTCCATTTTTGTATTATATAGGTTTCTATTCAACCTCAGTTGTTTCTACTCGATGCCTATTATTTCTAACACAGTCATCGAGGGGGTGAAATATATTACTGAGGGGATCGAGAGGAAACGCAAAAATCAATTAGCGTGAGTGAGGTAACATTAAACTATTTAGCCTATAAATTTTTTATTTACTTGATGCATAATTAAAATACTAAAGCATAATGTCTTTCACAGATGTCTATGTATAGGGAAGTGAAAGCCTCATTTGCAACAAGACTTGCCATGGCTTCTCGAAGTACGATGGATCTACGTAATTTCGTTTGTAAACACGTCTTCTATTACACCATTTCCTTATGGAATATTTCACCCATTTCTTACACTTTACGTCTCATTTTAGCTGAATGGTGGGAATGTCATGGTGGAGACGCACCTCACTTAAAGATGATAACAATCGAGATATTCTCCCAAACATATTCAACTACTGGATGTGAGCGGAACTAGAGTATTTTCCAGTGGAAACACACCCCTAGAAGAAATAGGTTGACTTCCGAGAGATTTCATAAGCTCGTTTTCGTTCATTACAATTCGAAGCTCTGATGGCGACATCTGGATAAGAAGATTGAGGATTACAGCCCTATCAACTGGATGTGACATTTATCACAGATACAACAGATAAGTGGTTGGTGGAGGAAGAGCCTCAAGTGCTTGACAAGGGAGTATTCCTCGAGTCAATCAGTGATGAATGTGAACAACAAGATGTTGATGAGCATGAAGGAGGAGAGGGAGTAGGATCAAGAGAAAGTTCCCCACCGATATTTGAGCAATGTGATGGAGATTTAGGTGTATTGCACCTATTGAAGGGGAGTGAGAAGGGGGTATGGGATGAAATGAGAGTGATTATAATTCTAAGGCAACCATATCCCAACCAAGATATATGCAGCCCGAGATCCAACAGTAAGAGTGTTAGGCGAGCAAAAGTATGAGCCTTGGGGACTTCGGGCAAGAAGAGTAGCAGTTCTCCAACCGTGGGGGATGTGGGTACAGCCAGGTCGACACCGAGGATTCTACAGCATACATAAATTGCCTCAATGAATAATCGAGAGAATTCAATGACACCGAGGATTCTACAGCATACATAAATTGCCTCAATGAATAATCGAGAGAATTCAATGAGATGCATCAACATGATGAAAAGGAAGAATAGCTCCACATTTCATTTTGGTATTAAGTTTCATTTTAATTGTGGTATGCTCCATTTTGGACTTGGTATTTATATCATTGATTATTATAAGCTTGTTTCTGAATCAATGGTTAACAGACATCTAGACAAGAAAACGTCTCGAATTCACATATTTTTATAAAATAATAAAAATACGTAATGCACTACTCCCAAATTTTTTTAAGAACACAAAAAACACCATTTTAAAGAATTTTAGTGTTTTTTTTAATTTTGTTTGGACCAAGACTTGTCGATCCACCCAATTCTCCGATCTGGATTGTCCATCTACCGATCCAACACGGTTTTTTGGGTGGCTGATCCGAATCACCAATCCATTTTTTCAAACCATAATGACACATTATTGAGTTCCTTTAAGATAAAAATTGTTTCAGATTTATGATCAGCAAGAATGACGTCTAGCTAGGCCGCACATATTGAAGAAAATGCAACAAAACTTTTCTGATTTTCCATGCTTCGGTTAAAAACGTTTATATAAGGGTGCAACTTTACACTATAGAAGTACGGCTCACCTCAAAATCCAGTAGAAAAGAGTGTTATGAAGTGTTCTGAAGTTGGAAAACGTTTCAATTGATCATCTCGCCCTCAAGATGCATGAATATAAAAAAAAATAAAAGAGACTTTCAAGTCCTAAAAATAATGCATCTTGTAACAAGTTATTTGGACGGTCTATTTTTAAGGTTTTCAAGTGTTTACAGATCTGCTAGATCTATACGGCATTTCGAATTTTAAATTTCAAGGGTTGTATATGGATTTTCAAGTCATTGTAAGCTTTTTTTTTGTTTTTTTTGGATTGGGATGGGGGGGGGTGGCAATTTGTAAACACTTGTATTAAAAGGAAAAGTATACGAGTGACAAAAAATGGCAGTTGGTAGGCTACACAAAAAATGGCAGTTCGTGGGCTACACAAAAGGAATATTAAAACAACTTTACATTATGTTCCATTACACAGAAAGGGGAACCAGGAGCTCAAAAAGGTGCCAAAATGGTTATTGGTGAGTAGCCTTGGCTCGCTCCTTGTTTAGTGAGCCATATAAGCTTCCATGAGACATGCATATCCCTACAAAGGTGGAGTATTTTGTCAAAAAAAAAGGTGTGCTAGTCTCCAAGGGTAGTCATAGAGTCCAGAAACCCATGTAATATTGTTTTTAGAGTCTCCCTCAATGAGGGATACTGTGTTCCAGCTAAGGTTGAAATCTTGAGACTTTTAAGCAAGGCAAGGACCTCCACAATATTGGAATCAGCACGTCCTTCGTGATCATGGAAGATGTCCATAATCCCTGCGGGCCAAGGTTGCCTAGAGAGCAACCGTCGAAGTTAAATTTGGTCTAGCCAAGTTTAGGGGGTCTCCACATAGAAAAGAGAGGGTTGTTAGTGGATCCTTAGTGCATGAAGGCCTGCCGGTTTTGATAGACATCAATGTGGGATAAGTGCTTGAAATATTTGTAGTTTTTTCCCAAAGATGATCAGGTCTTTGATCCAATTTTGCAATGCCTCCGTTGTGGTTCTTTCTCCACGAAAGATCCTATTGTTTCTTTCCCTCCAAATTACCCAAAGTGTGGCTGCGACTGAGGCCCGCCAGAGTACAACCCCGACTTCGACCAAAGGTGTAGGATTGAGGGGCTGAAGAGATGTGGAACTGATTTTGGCATTACCCAGGACCAGTTGAAGAGTTGCAATAGGTCTCCCTAAAGTGCCTAGGCCACATTGTAGTGGATAAAGAGGTGGATAAAGAGGTGGGGGTTGGACTCTTCATCTACTATGCACATTACGCATATGTTGGAAATGGGCACTCCCCTTCTTCAAAGCTGGACCACCGTCAGCTCTTTCTAACAAAGCAATCCAGTTGAAAACCTAGATTTTGGTGGGATGAATTGGACCCAAACTCTTGAGGTGATGGAGGTGGGTGAGGCAGAAAGGATTGGAGGTAATTGGAGCTTGCGGTAAAAAGAGGAGATGGAGAATAGGCTTGCAGTAAAAAGAGGAGATGGAGAATAGGCCCAAGGGAGCAACAGACCAGATAATCCTATACTCAATCAATCTTGGAGAGAGAGGGGTTGAGTGAGTGGTTTGACCAGCTCTGTGGAGGGGCAGGTCAATGAGGTTGTTCTTGGAATTGAAGAAGTCTAGCATACTCTGGGTGACCCAGGGATTAGAATTACGTTCGAAGGGCCACCTGATGACATTGAAGTCACCACCTACACACCACGTTGATGGGGTTGGAGCGACTACCCAGGTTGGCCCCTTTTGTTGGCCGATAAACAATAGTAAGCTTCCAAGGAAACCAATCAGAGATCCTAGTGGGGGACACCGCAGCCAAAAAGATGACCACATGACGAGGAAATGGAGTGTAGGGATGGGTCCCAAATCACTCAAATGCCTCCCAAAGCCCCTTGAGCTTCAAGGCTACCCTCATGCCTCATACCTAACAGATTTGGCCAAGGAAAGGAGAAGGGAGTTTGGTTTAGATGAAGGTTAAGGCCATGGGAGTGTATATTTGGCAAAAGTTGCAAACTACCATGCGTTTGTGAGGTTGGCCCAAGCCTCAAATATTCAAGTGAGTCGTTTCATTACTGAGGATCGGATGTGGAGGCAGGCCTAAGAGAGCTCCTGGGAAGCTAACAAGCCAAGGTGGCCGACACAACAGGGGGCAGTTGCAGGTGAGTGCTCCGCTTGGTCATAGCGATCCCCAAAAGTGACATTAGATATCCTTTCTGCTCTTTGCACTTACTTTGAATCTAGTCTGAGCATCAGCTCTAAGAAAGGCCATGATGTCTCCCTCTGGTCCGTCATACTAAAATCCCATCACTCTGGGCAAGGGCAACTAGTATGTATCTCCTTGAGAGAGATCCATCGGCGCGACGAAGCTCAAGTCATCGTAAAGTTTCCAACATCAGAACTGCATCTTCCGACAAATTTTTGAAATGCACCTTGTACTTGGGTACCTTATACAAACCTCACCCTTGGTTAAATGATAATAATAGGCCAAAGTCTGGGTATGGGAAGGCAATTTGTTAAAATAGCCAACTGTGATAGGTGTGAGGCTCATTTCCTAATCCATTGTAAAACACGGGTGAATAACATTGTTTCAAATTTATGCTTCATCATGTAAGGCGCAACCAAACCTTGCACCATCGCCACAGGATCTTTTTCAAGATATTTCCCGATACATACATTAAATACTCATTTCCTAAACGAAGCCTAAATCCATGTGCCAAATGTAATCCCACATGGAGGCAACGGTTTGGGCCAAGAAGAAAGTAACAATGAGGAAAACTCATGCTATCCAACAATCTCCTATATTACTTTCATTCCTTGTAATAAAATGAAGAAATGAAGAAGAGTGTAACTCCAAAGAAGAGTGAGATTTATATGCAAAGCCACGCTACTTAATTCCCAGTGGGCACTGCATTTTGCCACACAAGTTATTATCTAGAGCACTAGTTTTTAAGTAGTTATATCTAACCAAACTACCTGGCAAATCCAAAACCAACCAGCTTCCGAACTTTCAAAGTTCTAAAAGGACTATATTTCCTATAACTATGCTTTGTGCACCAATTTGGGTTGTTAAGGGAATCCAGTGAGGCTGCTATGGTTCACCAGAGAATGTGGCATCACTTTAAAGCCACAGTTAGACTTTTTATGTTACTATTATTTGCTTCCTACTTGTATTATTATTTATGTAACAATTTGAATCCATGTAAAAAAGTCTTAATGTTTTATGTAACACTATTTTTGCAGTCTTCAGGATACTTTCTCCCAATATCCTTTCTTGCAACAGCTGTACATTTCTGTTCACATGTAAACTTACATTTTGAAATCATATTCAACAAGATTCTGAATGAAGGCGGCTGAAACTCTTTCTACAGGACTTTTTAAATAATTTTCTCATGAAAATCAAATCTAGCTTAAATAAGCAAGAATACCAACCTATCATGACATAAGCTTCCGATTTCGTTTCCTCGCACTTTTTGAAATAGCATCGCATATCTCCCTTTTGCGTTTTGCATTGTCTTGTTCCTTGGTGGCAGAACCCCTCATTTGATTACCCAACTTTTCTTTCACAAAGAATTTTAGTTGCCACAACGTCAATGGGCTCTGCAATAGACAAAGACACTAAAGTTAGCATTACAGGTGACATCGCCTCCAAACACATAAACAGTGACTAAGACCATAGAAGATGTTCAATCAACGTTCACAGTTTTGTTCACCTGAGCATCTACATCAAGATCCACCTCTTCATCCATAGGTTGGAAATGTGGGTTTCTTTGTGCGACAATATCAAGTGCTTTAACGAGATCTTCAGGTGACAACTGACTCAGATCTAATCCAAGCTGTCTTTTCTCTTCAGTTGACATCAACCTAGAGATTTAACACAGATTATATCAAAAAAACGAATAAACAAAGAAAAAGAAAAAAATAAGATCACTTAGATGTCCTTCCTAAAACTTTGAACTTTCCTATAATGAAAATTGTTCAGGCCTTGTCCAATGAAGATAAAAGTGGAATGGAGCAGCTAGTATAGAAAAGGAAACGGTAAAAAGGTGCCAAACCCGTGGACCAGCCAGTCTGATGGTTGGATCAACCAACTCAAGGGTGAACCAGCCAGTCCCAATATGGCCTGAAAATGACCAAAACCATCTTCATTTTTTTTGCAAATTTTGAGTCCTTTTTCCATCCTTATGAAATAGCTTAGGCACATTTCAACCCTTTTTTATATTTCGGATGGTTTGGGGTTTAAAAAGTTGATGTTTAGAGAGAGAGAGAGAGAGAGAGAGAGAGAGAGAGAGAGAGAGACTAATTAGTACGTAACGTTAAACCGTACCTACTTTTACTTAGTATAGTAAAGTTAGGACGTACAGTAGAGACGAGAGGTAGTTAGTACGTACCAACCCTAACC